AATAATTCTGAAATAAAGCCCGTGTCTATGCCGCTCGACTCACGCAAAATGATTTGAATTCGGCAGAGGTAGTCTCTTAATACTAAAAATAGGGCAGTTTGCATTAATATTAGACATAACTGGTTCATCACTTTACCATCTCAATCAACCATGACCATGGGATGTGTAAAGAGCCTGAAACGTTGGTTTTGTTTGAAAAAAAAAAAAAAAAAATACTCACACGATTTAGATCCGATACATTATTTTCATTTCCGACATCACAATTTCAACATTATTTTATTTCTCTTGTTGAACTCTAGAAGTGACCCAGATCACGCTCGGAGACCACTGATAGCTGCCGAGTGTAAATGGAATACAAAATAGGCAGACGTCTATGTGCCTGTGCCTCATAATTTATCTTTTTTTTTTTAATTATCTAGATAGATAAATAAAATCAATAACGTCTAGTAAAGGCTACGGTACGTAGACCGTTGACAGAAGTCAATGTATGTACTGTGTCAGAGAATTTTACGTCATATTATCCAAACTAATATTATAAATGCAAAAGTAACTTTTTTTTTCATATTACCAAGTGACCGGATGAACAAGACGAGCGCCTGGTGGTAAGCGACACGCCTATCCATAACATTTGCAGTTTTCAACTGAATCCCTAGTAATTAAATTAAGATTTATCCCAAAATTTGCAAATTGTCTAACGGCTTAACGACACGCCGCGCCGCCCGTTAATCCGTCATTCGCTTGTCGAGTTTTTTTATAACATTAAGTGACGGGACGAACAAATCGTGTGCTTGGTGATAAGCGATACGTCTGTCTATTGCAGTGCCACTCAGAGCTTTAAATCGCAAAGATCTTAGAGGCACTGCCACTGCGCCCGTCACCCTGAGATATAAGTGGAGAAGTCCCATGTGTCCGTAATTTCACCAGCTGAGTAAAATTTGATGAATTTGGGTATAGAGATAGATGGTACCTAAGAGAAGTACATAGGGTACTTTTTGTCACAAAAATAAATCTTTAAAGGGGGTGAAATAGAGGATGAAAGTTTGTAAGTCGAATCAATCATTTCTCGATGTTCGAAGTACTTATTCTACGCAGACCATGTCGCGTGCATCAGGTAGTATACCATATACGTGTATTTATAGACGTCTAGGAGCGAAATCTATAACATTAACACGTTCACACCGGAATGAAAATGGCCATAAATTGGTGTCTGGTGGGAAAGATTTCACATGGTGGCCGGCCAATTTTCGTCAGATATATTTTACACGAGTTGCGTTTTAGGCGGCAAAAATTATAAGCCTTAATAGGATAATTAGAAAGACATAAAGCATATTAGCATCCAGGCATATCCGCCGGTGGCGCACCCCGTCTGATGGTCCAATCGTCCGTGCTCCACCGGTGGTGCTCCCCGAGGTGAACGTGTTAATGTCACACAAAAACCGTGGCGGTTTCACCACGTTTCATCTGCGACGGGTATAATGTTCTGTCATTAAGGTCACCTTTGTACTTTGTTTAACAATACTAAGTTCAAGAAGTAGTAAAGATTAACTAAACCACATTGTTCTTCAATTTACGTCTGGTTGTTTAACCGTACGATAGCGGATTAATCTGTTATGCAGTAACTGCAGTGTTTTATTGCCGTCGTAAAAAACGGTACGTTACGGGATTGAAAAATTTGAAACAAAATGTAATAATAAAAATTTGAGGTTAGTTACGGTACGTAATAGAATGTTGTAGGTAAAGTAATATAAGTGTGTTATTGGGTTGTTCTCCAGGCTTAGTCAATGTATATATATAAAGGCAATTGATCAGCTAGAATAGTAGGGATATGTAAATACGTACAATCATGGATCAATAACTGAAGAAGATTGCTTATCTCCATACGAGAGATCGTAACTCTGAAAAAGTTCAAAATTCCGTCTTATTTCTAGATGGCATTGATCAATATCCTGGAAATAGTTTATATTATGTAATTGGCCGTGGATATAAATTTTTTCTGAATTTTTTTTAAAGTTACTAATTTTTTTTATATCTTTATAATCTACATAATAGTCACGTGATACTAACACATATACACACTACATTCACTTCACAATGTTTTAGCTACCCTCCAAGGTGGTGGCTGAAAATTAGTGCTTTGCTTTTGGGCAAATTTTACACTAAGCCACGACCTATGTGGCTTGCTTTAGCACACACAAGCTGTTGTTGATCATTAGGTTAGTATTATGTTTTTGTTTTTAATTTATTGCGTTGCTGTTCGTTTTTATTTTATTTTCTTTAATTTTCATTTCTGTGTATCTCTTTTAATCAATTTACTGTATTATATTGTTGTGTGTGTGATGCAAGACAAACGTTTTATCTATCATATCTATCCATCTAAATTAATTTCTCTTTAAAATGAAATATGAATGGTCAGTTTTTTCCTCGTAATATTAATCATGAGCTAAAATTATTTTCTTAACTTTGACAAATATGCGTATCAACAGATGGCATTGTGTGTTACAAATTTATAAATTAACGCTTGCTAATATGGGTAGATGGCGCTAATCCTAAACAAAATAAATTATCCACAAAAATCTGTGCACTAAGCGCCATCTAGTAGATTTGTTTGTTATCACTAGAAATTAGAGTAGCTTTGCTATATTTGCAACTCGTCAATGTAAAACAAATTAGAAAAAAATAACTATTTGGCTCTGGTGGTGACAATAGGTACTAAATACCCGACTATGCTGTCTTGTATCGCGATTAGCAGTCCTGTTCAGTCATTGGTCCATGGTAAAATCATGGCTACCTCCCACTGGAATAAGCAGAGTCTAGTCCACCCTTACAATCCTATACTATCCGTTCCGTTTTGTTGGAGCCAACATGTAGTACCGCGAAGATTTTGTATACATGTTTGGATAAGTAGTTTATTTGATTTATCTTTCTGGATTTTATTAAGTGTTTTCTTGAGGTATTGTTTTTGTAATGGGGCTGACATGTTCAATAAAGATAAAAGCCCCTAAATAAATAAAGAGTGAAAAAAAGTATTGAATTCAGCGTAATATAAAAAAATGTAAAGCTGATAAAGTTAAATTTAATTGTATTGTATTTGTTTCCTTTTTTGGAGTACAATAAAAATTCTTTGAATTGTATTGTATTGTAAACAAATACCAGTTTAGTGTACTTCAAAATTGATATCCGTTCTTCTTAGGGCTCAAAGGATTTGACTCAAAATAAGCTATGTTCTTCTTACCCTGACTATAATGGTTGGTCAATCGATAATACAAGGATGGTGTGTTGCGAACTTTCTAGTCGAACAGGCCACCTTTCTACGGTAGTCGAGGTTTTAAGCCTTTAACTTCTCAAGAGAATCGCTTTCTTTCTATATCTTTCATTTCCTTCACTCACATCAGCATTAGCGATTGTGTGACAGAGTGAAGAATACTGTGATCCATGAACGATGTGGTTTGAAAGAGGACGTAGTGACAAAAATAGAAAAGGGTAGGTTGAGGTGGTTTGGACACATGGAGCTGATGAAAGAATAGTAGTAGATTAACGAAAGAAATATATAGAGCAAACGTGGAAGGCATCATTGGAAGAGAACGGCCACGAAGAACATTCTCAGATCAAATTAACCGTGTTCTTAAAAAGGCTGGGTGCGTAGTGAGAAGAATTAGAGGGCCTTTCTGAAAAAAATTGATGGATTTTTTTTTCATAATACCAAGTGACGGAACGTACAAGTCGTGCGCCTGGTGGTAAGCGACACGCCTATCCATAACAGTTACAGTGCCACTCAGAGCTTTAAATCGTAAAGATTTTACTTAGGGGCACTGCCACTGCGCCCATCACCCTAAGACATAAGATGACAAGTCCCATGTCCCATTGCATGGCGGCAGAAATAGGTACAGTGGCAGTACCCTGGACGAACTCTTTCACAAGGAGCTCTACTGCTACTAATGAATGTAAGTGTGTAAGTGAAGCAAGAGAGGTTTGTCATGATCGTGCTAAGTGGCGATTGATAGTCTCTGCCTACCCCATTGGGAATCTTAAGGGCGTGAGAATAAATAAAATAAAAATATTCACGCGTGTGTATGAAACAGTCCAAAGCAGCTGTTACGATGTATGACTATCATTGTTGCTAATCCGATGTGGCCATGATGATTTCAACATTCTTTTGTGATCTAGACCGCAATTAATATCTCTGTTGATAATCTGTGACAATTTTACACAATCATGTCATACGGTGTCGTAATGCTTGAAACAATAATTTAAGGTAATACGTAATTAATTCGCATAGGTATAATTATGTAATGTCTGTTTGGAATGTATGGCGTTTAAAGTTTTGTTGACGTACACTAGCCAGTGTACAATGAGTTAGTTAGGGAAAAAATGTATAAGACCTATATTATATTATACCTATATTATACATACCCATCATTTATTAGATTTAAAATCTATAATAATTTGAATTTTAAACAACGTACTTTATTGACGCCTTGGTTTGATTTTCGTGTGGACTATATAGAGCTGTAAAACTACTTCCCTATTTTTAATAACATTTACTCCATGTCAAGCAAGTTAACAAAAATATAAAGTAAATAAAGTCAGCTTCTTTTATATAACTAAAAATGAATAAATTCCCGGTTATTAATCATTTCAATTCAGTCCCTATCTGAACGCATTTCTTCGTCAGACATAGCTGCAAATAAAAAATACAATAGCAACTCTATATACTTCCAAGACGTCTGAAAGCGCCCGGTCTATATCAAAAGCAAAGGGCAACTGAATAAAACCCAACGACAGCCGAAACACAAAGTTTGCCGAGGGACATTGAGAAAATAGAAGCACTTAAGACTTGAAACATATTTCGTAAAATAACTTTATTTAGTAAATAGGGAGAACGAAAATCGAGGATTATATCCATTATGGAGCTGACTATTGTTTTCCCCATATCTAGGCAACGTCACTATTCTGTTCGACCCTTACTTTAGGTCGTGCTGTGTATAATTATTGTACATTACCCGGAAACTCATCTCCAAGTTCTCCCCTCCCCAGATGTCCATGCCCTCGTCGTAGGATCCTATCTTGTAGAAGTATTCCCGGTCGATGGCGAATAGGCCCCCAGCCATGGTGGGTGTGCGGAGTGGCGCCGTGCGGTCGCCACCGCGCCGCGTCATCTCACGCTCGGGGACCCGGTACCTGTTACAATACATTCTTATTCGTATTACCGTACATTAAAGTAAAATCAAAGTTAAAAAACCTAATCGGGACTTAATTCGTCAATAGAACAGATTAAAATAGTCAAAGTAAATTTACCTAAACTTTAACTGATACACTTATTATTACAGTATTGTAGTGAGCACTGAAAATCATGCTCAGGTCCTTGCCATTAGGGTCGTATTTCCAGTGCTTGAAATCATACTCAAGTCTGCTCAAGTCCTGACTTGAGCATTGAGTAGAGTTCTGGAATACGACCCTTACAGTGAATATTACTGTTCTCTAAAATCCCAGAAATTAAATTAAAAAATAAAAAGCAAAAAAGAAACAAAGCAGTTATGTTTTTACTAACAATAGGGAATCGGACAACTTTTAAAAGTTCATAAAATTAACGATAATGGACGATACGGCTAAGGAAAATATTATTTTATTTAAATAAAGCTTTTTAAGTCCCTAAACCTATATTCGAATGTAAGTAAAAAAAAAACCGTTTACTCATGGCGCGTGTTGTCATTGGTAGGTCGACAATCTAGACAATGTGCACTTGCCACTTTCGAGAATTTTACGTATTGATTGACTTCCGTCTTCAAGTAAAAAATTGTTAGAATTTAGTTAAATAGTGGTTAAAATGAGAAAAAATACAAGGTAACTACAAAAAAACACGCGAACAGTGAGTACGGTGAACTTACTTTGTTACCTACATATGACGTCAAGTGGGGTGTTTGATGTTTGACTAACAGATTAAGAATATACTAATATACATATATAATATACATTTTCGTATTTTATTTATTGATTTAAAAACACAAATTATATTTTATTAACCAACTTCAAAAAAAGGAAGAGGTTCTCAATTCCACTGTGTTTTTTTTGTATGTATGTTACGCGATAACTCCGCCATTTGTGAACCGATTTTGATGATTCTTTTTTTGTTGGAAAAAGGGTACCTCAGAAGTGGTCCCATTTAAATTTGAAGAAAATATTGGACCTCTAAGGGTGGTAAACTAGGTGATAAATGACTATTGAGGTCGGTTTTTTTAGTACTCTGCACTGAGGTTAGATTATTATTTCATAATAATATTGCTTGATGGATCGTTTTTCTCATTGAAACATATTTTCGAACTCATTGACTTACAAATAAATGGACGACGGGTCTAATACAAAAACCACGAAAAAAATGTCCCAAGTCAACCTATTCGAAATTTAAATTGTAATGTCATCGCAGTATCGCGCTGTCAGTAGAACAAATGAAGACTAAAGCGGAGTGTCGCGCTCTGTATACGATTTTAGCGCCTTACAAGTGCGGACACTTTTTAGCGCGGACCCGACGTCCATATAATTGTAAGTCAATGTTCGAACTACATATTTTTAAGATTCTTTTCTGATTATTGTCCGTTTGCCTATTACAAAACTTTTCTTCTAAATAGAAAAGAAATATACAACAAAATAAAATACAACAATTCCTGCATTACATATCATTCACTCTATATTACTTCCGTGAAATGTAAGTAAATACACTGTGCCAATTCCGATCTATGCCATGAATTATTTGACAAGACGATCTGAGTTGAATAACATTATTCCTTCCCCTTGGAGGAATTTGCGGAAGAATACCGCCCAGTCTCTATAAATACCACTGAACACCTGCAATATCACTTATTGTCGGTGGACTGAAAAAACGTAAGGGCTGCTGAGTGACTTATTGAGTCGACAATCGTGGCGCAAACGTCGCCATTAATGTTCATTGCCATAGTGTGCGGAAAGACAGCAGTATTCTTAGATATCCGTGTGATATTAGAGGCGTGTGTGCTTTTTCTACTTTTAGATGGCTCATTTAGTAGCAGTAGAGCTCCTTGTGAAAGAGTTCGTCCCGAGTACTGCCACCTTACTTATTTCTGCCCAGTTCCAGTTTATAAGGGTAAAGTGCTGGTGAAATTACAGGCACATGGGACTTGTCAAGTTATGTCTCAGAGTGACAGGCGCAGTGGCAGCGTCCTTTAGATCTTTGTGATTTAAAGTTCTGAGTGGCACAGCAACTGTTACGGATAGGCGTATCATTTACCACCAGGCGCACTACTTGTTCGTCCCGTCACTAACTACTAATGTTACGAAATTTGAAGAGTCACATTTTAGGGAAACATTTTAGGAGGTGCACGAAAAGAGCCTCCTGACACGACGTACCATTACCTTTCCTGTACCTGTGGCATGCTGTCAACAATCGGCAAGTACGTTACGCCGATTGGTAAATCCTTTTACTACAATGGCAAGCATTATAGTGTATGTCATCGATACCATAAGAAGAAGGGGTATCTTGATCTTGGTTAAATAATTTCTCACCACCAGGCGAGGAGCTTTTTTTTATAATACTAAGTGACGGAACGAATAAATTTGTGTCCCTGGGGCCTTACCATGAACTCTTATTACGATTCAGTTTAGGACCGAAAATGAATCGTTGTGAGACAGCGCTACATGAAGTGTATACCACCATCCACCTTTTTTGTCGTTACGAACCTATACTGAACTATAATAATAATAAAATTGTTTATTGAATAACGTACATATTGTACAAATGAATAACTAAAGACTAATTATGCGAATAAATGTAAAATATAACACATATACCTGAACTAGGAGAATCCTGTATTTCAAGTAAAAAATACTAATTATACAGGTTATACAGGTGTACAAAATTGTACAACAAATTAAACTGTAATAAGGGTTCATGGTAAGGCCCCTGGTGGCGACACGCCTGTCCCTAAGTGCCCAGTTACACGACGCGAAAGTTTTCGCGCGACCGCCCAGTTATCAAGCCTTCACGTACGTCAATGGCGAATCTGAATTCCATTTACTAGGCAACAACATTTACATTCCTCTGAATAATACAACCGCGCGGCCGCCGCGCAGACCAAAATTCCATCCAGACTCGCCCGCCGCGCTCATTTAAGTTGAAACGGAAAAGCAAAATAAATAGAGCGTATTTTGCCATGACAGTTAGGCGCAGGGGACGCTGCGCGGCGACAACGCGGATTACGCTCGGCGACCGGGGGTGAGAGCGATGAATTTCTTGTCGAATAAATAACAGTTGCAGTGCCACTCAGAGCTTTAAACCACAAAAATCTGAGGGGCACTGCTGCTGCGCCCGACACATCAACCTAATAATTAGCGTGGTTGTGTAGCACTTTATTACTACTATTATTATGTTTTTATTTTCTCAGTCCGTTAGGTGGTTTGAACTACACTTACGGAAAATGACTTTTCAGTTATAGTCTTCTGTATGTATATGTCAAGCTACAGTTCCCAATGGTACTGCGGTGTCTATTAGGTAAGTAATTTTGTTTATTTCCTTGTAATCGTTATTGTTTTTTTTCTCATCTTGTTGGCTGGTTTTAACTACACTCACGAAACGAAATAAAGTAAATACAGTAAGTGTATAATAATATCTATGTTATTATTTTGGATACTTATTTTAGACACTCGCCCCTCTAATGGCCTAAAAGATTATCTCTAAGAAATCTAAATACCTCAAGTTGCTAGCGAGGCTGACTGGAATTAACACGTAATTGTTTTCGTCAGTACTGTTATTAAGGATGCGCTATAGGGTTCGCTCAGTTTTTTTATTCTTTAGGAAGTTATTGATGTTATTGGGGTCACTAGGATATGGTTTCGTTGTTTTTCTTTTAAATATCATGTTTCCGTTATTTTTTTTTAATTTCTCCCATTGTTGGAAATAATTGCCAATCGGTACTTAACGTTTGCACCCTACGTGTTAAGTCGTTAATGGCTGTTGTGCACAAATGGTACACACATTCAGTAATTTCAAAGGCTATCGCCTGTATGCAAAACCTAATTAATCGCAGCACTCATTGTTTACTTACGGTGTGTTAATTCAATTGGAATAACACCTTGCTATTGTTGTTTAAATTTTGCCAAAATTGTTTAAAATTTATTGTATTACGTTGCGACCTGCAAGGAATGATGTCTCATTCACAGTAACAGCAAAACTCCTTGTGAAAGAGTTCGTCCAGGAAAGTACTGCCACCTTACCTATTTCTGCCGCCAAGCAGCAATGTGAACCTTACTGCGTTCCGGTTTCAAAGGGTAAGGGGTGCTGGTGAAATTACAGGCACACGGGACTTGTCAATTCATGTCTCAGGGTGACGGGTGCAGTGGCAGTGCCCCTCAGATTTTTGCCATTTAAAGCTCCGAGTGACACTGCAACTGTTATGGATAGCCGTGTCGCTTAACACCAGGCGCACAACTTGCTCGTGCTGTCACTTGTATTAGAAAACAAAACACGTCTCAGGTGACGGGCGCAGTGGTACTGCCTCTCAGAACATGTGTTTTAGAGCTCCGAGTGGACAGTCGTGTCGCTCACCATCAGGTGCACGACTTGTTCGTCCCGTCACTTGAAATCATAAAAAAAGATTCTATCGTATTGTAAATTAAAATTGTTATTATTGTTAATTTTGTTAATCAAAGAAATAAAACGTCAAAATAAAAAACGCACCAATCAAGGGGCCACCGACCGGCTATCCAATTTGTTAGCGTTTCGATGTTGTGATTCTATTGTATGAATTTAAATAGAATCTACACCTTATTACTTACGATTACGAGTCAGCTACGACATACACGCGGAGACGTGCTATCGAATCGTCAGTTTAATAATATTTAGATACGTATTATGACTCTACAGCTGTTCCTTTTGTCCGGTGGCGCAATTAAGGCCATCCGAGGTCAACTTAAATTATCCTTCAGAAAAAAGTAGTAAATAATCTGCGCAGCTATTATTAGTATTTAAGAGGCGCGACCTTATTAGAACCGCTGCACGGAACCTATCTAATATGATTTCGCACAAGACTAGTGATGAACACCGGAGTGTGGAGGGGCTCTGTAATACAGGTCTCCTAGTACACCAGTCTCTCACACAAACTTAATGATGATGATGGTGACTTAGGTGGCCTCTGTGGTCGAGTAGCTTGCACACCGGTTTTCATGGTATCGCTATCTCTGAAGTCCCGGGTTTGATCCCCGGCCGAGTCAGTGTACAAAACTAACTTTTCTATATTACCTCGGGTCTAGGTGTTTGTGGCACCTATGTTGTTTCCGATTTCCATAACACAAGTGCGCTTTAGCTACTTACTTTGGGATAAAAGCAACGTATGTGGTGTTGTCTAATATTTATTTATTTATTTATTTACCGGAGAAAACCTAATCAGAAAAAAGTCCTACAAAAGGTGTAACAATATTAAGGTAACTCACTACTGTAATATATTCTAAGACTGTGAGAGATAATAAATATATATATATTTTCTTTCATATTATATTTACTGCCTGTTAGTACAACTAAAATAATAATGTGACAACCCTACGCTTCGAGCGCATTGTAGGCATTTACGCGCCGAACAGACGGTAGATGCCGTATCTGTCTTTTTATATTATCGGTATACCCAACATGCACAACCTCAAGGGGTACATACCGAGGAAAAGCTAAAAAAGTATGAACAGCAGTGGCGTAGCGTGAGGGGTTCAGAGAGGGCCATGGCCCCGGGCGGCGGCACAGCAATGACGGCCGCGACAAGCGCGACCGAGCCCTAACTAAAATATATAATTTTTTAAATTTAAATTAGAAAATAAATTCCACAGTTTGCGAAAACGATATCCTGAACAACACAAAGGTGGCGAAGGCAAGCGAACATAAAAACCAATGGAACCGAGATTGTTCGAACGAACTACTTTTGTAATCGTGAAAATATAGAAGCAGCAAAAGGTTGGACCCGGGCGGCAGAAATCAACCACTGCAGCTAGCCAAAGAGATTCCGAAGATCAAAGAGATTCAGAAGATCAAAGAGATTCGGAAGATCAGGCAGTAGCGGGAGGTGCATGTGGGGCCCCTCATATTGCCCACTATCGACGTTATTCCAAGGAGCCTGTCGGAGAGCTTAGCTAAATAGGCCGTAGTAATCCGCCGCCTCCTTAGCATTCAGTAGTCAGGTAACATGTTGCCAGTACAGCCCACACTGCCTTCTATCATCATCACCCATTATGGCGTGCCAAAGAGCACCACCCATGAAAATCCCCAGACAACCTCATCAATTACCTGGTCTCAAGATGGGGACTGACGGACACATAACAAAAAAATAGTGCTTGGTTGATTTTGTTCTGTTAATTTAATATAATTTCCCTGTAGTTAATTTTTTCCCTATATTTTTAATCCACGACTGTGCAATGTAATCCATTCGATCTAATCATGACGTCATGATGAGAAACTCGTGACTGATAACAACATCTATCTGTTAGATTGTTGTTATCCAAACATCAACCCGATCGTCTGTCAAACTTTGATTTAACGTGGTTAAATATCATGATATTGTTTTCATGCAATACAATATAAAAAACAATACAGGGTGAAGTCATTAGTGACACAGAATGTAAATTTACTTGTTCAAACAGCAGTCTGCAATCAGTAAAGGTGTCGGGAATTTTGATGACGCCACTGCGCAACGCGCGCGTGTGTATCTCGTTTTGCGCGCGTTTGAATCGATACAAATGCAACAATCTTCGTGAAACGCGCGTCGGCGCGTACAAAATACGCCGATGCATAGGCTCTAGGGGCACTGCCACTGTGCCCGTCACCCTGAGACATAAGTGAATAAGTCCCGTGTAATTGAACCAGCACCCTTACCTTTCGAAACCAAAATGCAATACTCACATTACTACTTGGCGGCGGATATAGGTAAGGTGGCAGTACTTCCCTGGACGAACTCATTCACAAGGACCTCTACTGCTATTAAAAACGTGTAAAGCAGTTGGCTGTTCAGATATTTTGAACGCACGGACCTTCAATTCGTTAATTTTATCTAAAATTGACTATTTTGGATGTTTATATCGCTCAATATATAAAAAAATGTAGTACCACAGAAAAGCTGTTTTGAAAAAAAAAATAATAATTTGACATTCGTAAGGCCGCTGTGACTTCAATACTTAACTTTCCGTGGTTTTATTGTGAAATATATTAAAACTGTATGAGGAGTATTGACTATATTATACTATTCAATATTCAATCAATCAGACTTTTCTGTGTTATGACAGTTTTTTTAGAGAATGAGCGACACTTATGTATACGTAAATATAATAATATATATTCGGTTTGTTTAACGACTAGGATCAAGTTTATACAATCTTTAAAAATGCATTCAGTGACACAAGAAAAAGCCCTATGTATTCCTTCATACATTGGCATGTTCGTTAGTTCAAATAAGAAGTCCGTATAAGGCCTTGATATACGCACAGGCCACGGGCGGCCTAACCTCCGCTATGGAACAATAGGACGACGTTATGCAACATCAACAATCTAAAAACAACAAACGCCTATTCGAGCCCTACTTGACACAATTCCATGTTTATTTTCGTGCGAACAATACTGTTTTTGTAAGCCCTGTCTAGCTTTGTTTTGGTTCTGAATTAGATGATAATAATTTGATATTTGTGAAATACATCCTCTATTGTATGTAGGTTACAAGATGATGTAAATAAGTATAGGAACTTGTCGAATAGTTATCTTATGATGAATTTTCTTGTCATCATTAAATAAATACTGGAAGAATTATTAACATTATACGTTGTTGACAATTTAATTAAAACGGGATATTTGGGTGTCTTAATCTAGTATACCTCCAGGTAGGATATATTTGATGAGAATTAAACTAACAAAAGCTGACAAACATATTTTATTTGTCAGCTGTTACAACAATTTTATTGTTAAAGTTTATTCCGTTGTCAGCTGTAATAATATAAAATTTTCTTTATTAACTAGTATTTACATTTTGCTATTTAATTATCATAAAAGATATCTAAAACGATTTGTTATTTCCGCCGGAGCTTGAACAATGAGTTAGAGAAGAACATGACAGAAGAAAAAAGATAGCGCACACGCTTTTTCAGGTTCGCTCGTTTAAACAATTTTATTGTTCATAAAAGTGAAATAAACTTTAATTGAAATCAAGTGGTTTTCTGTTCTATATTACAATACAAGCGACGGGACTCTTAAGTCGTGCGCCTAGTGGTAAATTACACGCCTAGCCATGACAGTCGCAGAGCTTTAAATCATATAAATAAGTTGATATAAAACAGCTTTATAAAGTGCTATAACAATAAACAACTCACCATCTGAAGTTAAGCTTCCAGTTGAACCCTCCCCAGGTCATATCGGAGGCCTGGATGTACTCGAAGGTGGTGTCCGAGATCACGTCAATGATTGGACATACCACTGTCGTTCTGTCCTCCACGATACGCGCAAGTAGCGGTTCCAACCAGCCCTCTAAAATGGAACATTAACAATATTTAAAAATTCAAAGAACATTTATTTATAGACAATATTTAGTTCTCCATTTATAAACGAGAGGATATATATTGGTTTCATTCAGTATATATCGCCTGCTATTACAATAGTGTTGTAACTCAAAATACGTGAAATTCAAGATTTATACTATTACTGAACGTAAATTTCATTCTCTACACGTCAATAAAACCGTCGTTAAAATATTGTAAGAAACAATTAAAAGATCTACTCAACTCCAAATGAGATCTAGTTAAATGAATAACAGCATTATTTTATTATCAATGTTGCACATGAATGTTCAAAAAGTAAGTAACTGATGCACTTGTGGTACCACAAACACCCAGTCCCGAGACAATATAGAAAAGTTAATTTTTCTACATTAACCTCGGCCGCGACCAATAGAACCCGGCCTCAGAGATGGCAACGCCGTGAAAACCGGTGTACTAACCATTCGATCATGAAGGTCGTTAAAATTTTTGTCACATGAGATACCTGACCCCATAACATGCCCAAACCGACCCTTTGGCAGAGAATAAAGAATAGAGAACGGACACTCTCCGCCCCTCCCAAGTTTTAGATACCGCATCACGCTCCGCACATTGCCGGTCACATTGACTGAACGACAACAAGGCTGCCGGCGAGCCGTTTTCACGCTACGACGGCTTTGAGATTTGACTATAGTTTTCATTTATTCATTACGAAACTTGTACGCTAATATAAAACATCATTTTACGTTACTATTTATAATGGTCGTGAATTGTGCTGTGTACGGCTGTTTATCATCATTTTCCGAAATATGAAACGAAAAAAGTAAAAAAAACTTATGTCTGAGACTCATTCAGTTATTGTTTTCTTGATTTATTTACTGCAGAGTAATATATGTATGTATAAAAAATACAGATTTATTATATCAATATAATGAGACGCCATGACTTCGCGAATTCTCTATTTGTATTGCCGATAAATATTAAGTAGGTAGTGAATAAATCTAATTATTAACTAAACTTGGACAAACAATTTCAAATACCTTGGTTACCCTCCTTAAAAGTATATGCCCGAAATGTAACATTTTAAGTGCTTTTAATATATTTTTGAAATAAATCTTCAATATTACTCTAGTTACTGAATTAATGAAAAATATAATAGTACATCGATATAAATACCTAATAGACAAGTATAATTATTAGGATTCTATTAATAGAATCATAGATAACAGTTTCGCGTCAGAATTTTCGCTATGTTGCCGCTCTGACCACGTCACGTAATAGTGCGTGAAAGTTATGGGTAACCCTGCCACTTCACGCACACATTTGCGCGTATGCAGATAGCACCTTGCTGTATGTAGTAGTAGCAGGTAAATAATTTTCGACCGTTGAATGGAGTGTCCGGGGTGTGCTTTTGGTTCCGAGAGCCATCTTACGTATTGAACAAAGAAAAATCTTCAGCAAAAACAATTTCAACTTTATCGTGTAAGCAATACAGTGGAGAGATATCTTTAAAACCAATACTAAATTTCGTCATTTAATTTCCAAGTAAATGGTCGAGCGGCTTGTTGTATCGACTGACAGTTACAATACCCGTGGTTCGATTCCACGAGCACTGTTTTGTTTTAAGGTTTAAATATTTTTAACAGCATTGTTTCACTTTTTAATGTTGACAAATCACAATATTTGTTCACTAGAAATTGCCTAAGGTAGATATTATTAATAAAACGTAGGGTGGGTATGGATAGTTTAACAAATCACGAAATCGCTCTGCAGTTAGCATACGATGTTGTCTTCTGTGATTACGCATTGTTCCACGTTTCGTCCGTATTTGTCTATTCCATTTTAATTACTGTCAAGGTTTTAGTGACTTTCAAAGTTTTCTTTCTTGTTTTAATATGCCGCACTTAACGGAATTATTACAATTAGAAATTATTGTTCTGTATGAACAAAACTTAGACATTCCTTACTTAATCCAGACGCTAAAAACAGAAAAACATACAATATTATGTAGCCATAGCTAAATAATATTTTATTTTTAATATGACTCGAAGCATGCTTGCCTCAATTTGCAAAGCAATCCTTATACCACTTGGCCACGACGGCCTTACCAAAGCTGGTTCAAATTTGTGCTGTATTTAAGTAAGAACAAGAACCATACATTAAAGTTCAAATTGGCTTAAAAACTCATCCTAAAATGTCATCCACTAATGAGACGACCAGGGAGTCATACCAAAGCAAATTTTACGGCTCACAGGTTAAAGATTAAGTTTGTTTTGACAATTTTCTCCACATTTTTGTGCTCAGAACCAAAAGGTCGACAAAGTCGGCTTGGGCGGGTCAGGTATCTTGTGTATATACTCTACAATAACTGCCTCCGTGGCCGAACGGTTACCATGCCGGACAGCCACGCAGAGGTCCCAGGTTCGATTCCCGGGCCGGGAGTAATAGCTGTATGGCCTACAATTATTTCTCTCGTGAGTTTGGGTGTAATTTGTGGTTGTCTATGTTTGCCCATGGCACCCGCGACACAGGGTTTCCCTATGTTGAGTGTGTGCGTTAAAAAAAAAATACTTATAGCGTAATAGGTATATATAGCGTGGGTTATTTTTTTATTTATCATAATAAGTCATTTGCATGTATTTATTGTATGCATGTAGTCATTTGCACATATTACTGCTTGGCGGCAGAAACAGGTAAGGTAAGGCAGTAGACAAGGAGTACTGCTACTAAACCAGATCTCAAAGTAGTACCAGAGTCGGAATTCACTCTGTGGTACTTCTCAGAACCCCCAGACCAGAACCAGTTTAGAAAAGTTAGTTTTCCCAAAACCGAACCCGAGACCTATTAATTTATTTAATCCTAGCTAAAAGCTCACATTCCTTTGAACATTATAGTTATTAGGCTTTTGGTTAAAGAATGATTTATATTTAGAATAATTTGAAATTTGTCTGGCGCACTATATTATTTTAATTCAGGTTAATTAAAACAACAACATGTTAATGTTCTTACCAGTACATTCACAATGGGCGTCGAGGAACGTGATGACGTCACCCTTAACATGTTTAGCGCCAAGCAGCCTAGCCCGAATGAGTCCCGACCGAGTTTCTGTCCTGAATAATCTCGTTGACACTGGCAGCGTCTTTATGTAGTCTTCTAGTTTTTGTCCTAAGTGTTCTGTAAAAAAGGAAATCATTACCCATCAAAAAGTCATAAATACGGGTAGAATTTACGACGCAAAAACGTGCTTAGACAAGCAAATAAATATATATAATAATATTAGAAATAAATCTCTAAATAAAAACGTATTTAACAGAGAACGAAAAAGGCAGACTGTATTTACTTAAACTTCAAAGAAGTACAATTATTAATACAAAGATCGAACACTCAGAAAAAACACTCAGAAAAAATTCCTTCGATCCGGTTGGATTCGAACCGACGTCTTCTTGCGTACCGTGCCAGACGCTATACCAACTAAGCCACGGGACGAACCAACGGACCTCACGAATTTTTCTATGTGCTTGCGTCGTGTCTTTGTACTTGGTCTTTCAAGGACTTTTTAGTCGTAGCATCTAAAGAAGTAATCTATCAAAGAAGTAATTTATGTGGAGTGAATAACACCTCCCTTTCAATCCCGGAGTTGTTGTAATGTATCGGTAATGTATTCAGAACATTTTGTTCTGATTTTTTGCTTTTAATTTTAATCATTCTAAGACCATTTGGCCATTGCGAACTTCGGTGATCAATTACTGTGACCAGTTAACTAAAACATCTAATGTATGTACACTTGACTTCATCCGGTTCTTCGAGAGGCTAGTGCCTCAGGTGAGCCGCCCCGGGTGCACGTACAGTACCCTTCCTATTTTCCAGATAGATACCAGAGCCGTAGGCTCGCTCACTTCCCGTTGCGCATTGCACAACTAACGGTTGCCACAGCTAAGCCGTCGACTCTAGAGTCCACTACCAAATCTCCTCATTGGTGGCGGAGCTGTAAGGCACGCTCACTTCCCCACGCCGAAAAACAACGTCTCTCCAGTTACCAATAACCTAAGCGGTTGGAGGGACCGAAGGATATCTAGCTTATCCTCTACTAGCTCTCCGGGCTAGTGCCGGCCATGCCAGTTGCAGTGTCCTGCAACAATGTCCGGACATAGCTTCCAACTGAAGTGTAACTCACGTGTCAAATAGACCGCTACTAAGACGCGCTAGCTGCTCACGAGAAAGACGTCCCGGAAACATGCAAAACCGGGGCAGACCAACATGTCCGTCTCTGCAGCTAACCACAAAACCCAGCGAATCCATACCCAAGTCCGGGTCCGCCAGAGACGCCCGCAAAGGCGTATCACTGGCGGAGGGCTTGGCCCAGATGCTCTCTGTACCCTGGTCTTGCAATCGGGCCCGTAGTCTCTCCGGAAAACCCTATCTCTGGGGTCGGTAGATAGGGACAATTAATACGTACAATTGTAATCAACTCCATGCAGTCGAGACTTCAACAGCAAGTGTAGGCTACAGACAACGTGAACGATAGTCCGAGAATGGAAAGCAGCAATTGACATTCTTATTATATACGATTTCCTATATAAAATTTTTTTTTTCAAGTAACGGCTAAAGGTAACGATTACTTTTCTCGATGCATTTATTTCACATTCGTTCAATTCTTATAAACGAATTCTCATTCCTAAAATATTTAGACTTGTGTACTGGCACGAGATTCCGTATAAGCGTACGTCTATTTTTCGTAAAAACGAATAAAATTGTCTTATAAAAATTCTTATTGTATTGCAAGGTTGATCAATGTCAATGAAAGGAAAACGCCATTCCAGCGGCGTCGGGACAGCCATGAAATGAAGACGTAAATCGTCTAATTCATTCGATTACGTCTAGTCAGGCGTAGACAAATATAGGTTCGCGTCGTCTTTCTCTCATAAATCACATACGTATTTGCATATTATTATGCAGTGTAACGTCTATTACTCAGTCTAATGTGGCAGTAAGAGCGTTTAATCTTTCATGCGATAATGTTTATTTGGTCCGCAAAAACGGGACTTTTCTAAGGGTTTAGAGTTAGATAGATAAGTAAAAACTTTATTCAATTCCATGACAGCTTATTAACTAAGATCCACTAAAACCGAACACTATAATTATTATAATATTAAACCACTTAAAAATAACAAAAGGAACGTACGACTACACAAATAACTAATTAAACTAAGTAGTGTTGGAAGTCATGGCTGTGAGAAGGCGCTGGCTCAGCTTTAATGCCAATCTCCCACGACGCTGATATTCTGCCGGAACCGTGTTAAAAGAGACGCCACTCATCATCGCAAGCACTGCTCTGGCATTATCGTTTAATTTAATATAGATTATATTTTTATTTTATAAAAAATCAATATCATACCAAAATGTGCGTGTGCACGTGTGTCCGTGCATCAACATTTTACGTTGCTCACTTACGTAAAACTTAAATTTAACGTGATTTACTGTTTTTAAATCACATAGACATACGATTATAGGCCCTTTTGGGCCTGTCTACTCGTAAATAAATTATGTGGACCGAGCCTTTCTTTTCTTTCACTAAGGGTAGGCCACACCGCTAATGTAGGTTACGGACCTCACACGTTTTCTAATGGTTTTTTTATACAACTTTTACATTGAAAAAAAAAACCAAACTCCAAAGTGTGCTTATCGGCTTTTTCCGATTTCCATGGGATCCCCTCACCAGATTCTGACTTTTTAGTGACAATGAAACTGTTACGGACTCCTTTGTACATTTTATACTTTTTTCTAGTTGTCATAGTGACAGTGATTTGTTGATTACATGTATTGTGTCAAGTGAAAAGTCGTCTTTTATTTGCGGATTTTTTTTTTTTTAATTTGCGATAACTGAAACGGACCCGGAACAGCATCGTTGGCATCAGAAACCACCTCGAGAGTATACCCTTTCAAACAAAAAAAGAATTTTCAAAATCCGTACACAATCCATGGAGAAATCGGTATGTCAGTGTACATGTCTTTAAAATTTGAGGTGTTTCCTCGATTTCCATGGATCTCCTCATCAGATTCTGACTTGGTGACAATGGGACCACCACGAGAGTGCACCCTTTCAAACAAAAAAAGAATTTTCAAAAACGGTCTATAAATGACGGACAAATTTGAAAACATACATACAGCCGAACGTATAACCTCCTCCTTTTTTTGAAGTCAGTTAATAAATACCAGACACACGCTTCGTCACAATCTCATCTGATATGAAGCGACGTTGTGACCGACGATGGTACGCGTTTGCCTAAAAAATGCCTTTTAACCTAGCCTTAATTAGCCCCAATTACATCTGTTAAGATTTATTGAAATTGGTTAACAATTTATTTTTTTTAATTTAATTGGTTGGTTAGAAAGTGGGTGAAGTTCCATAAAAGAAATTAATCTTAGCCACCTTCAGAGGTGGAATATTTTTATCAAATTTGAAGGGCACCTCTACTGACCCATTTCCAACAAAAAAGAAACATCGAAATCGGACAAATAACGGAGTAATCGGTTAACATACCGACAAAAAAAATAGTCTAATTGAGAATCTCCTTTTTCGAAGTCTGTTAAAAAGTAAAATAACCGGTAACATTTTTGAAGAAAAACTTTGGGGATTTTACTAGTATTCCGCTAAATGTATGTGTACTGTAAGGGTCGTAGCAGTGGGTTAGCGTAGCGAGAGGCACATTTCAATGAGAAACGAGGAAAATAATAATAAATAAAACTTTACTAAACGTGTATTCAAATGGAAGCTTTTTCTAGAACAACCACGATGTTATTTTTACAATGCACTTTATTTTTATATAATTCTAAACACAAACCTATATTTATTCAGCCAGTTCTAATACAAAGCTGTATGACAGCCTAGTCTACAGTAGGTACTTTGATAATAATTTTCAAAGTCAGCTACTTTTTAATTCTCTTTTCTTTCAATTGTAGTAAATTAGTTTTAGTTCATTCACAGAAAACGTTATCAACATGCATAATGTTTAATTCGATAATTTCGGTCACAACGATAACTGTAATAAAGTTACAGAATAAACAAACATATTACACTTATCTCAAATTCAAACGAGTGGGAAGCGAACGAGGCAGAACAATTTAGCTTCACATAACGCGTAATCGATATGTGATTTATTCACGGTATGTTATCGTTATCAATGTCGTCGAGCCAAAACATTACGATCGAATCGCCCTTATCAGATCCAAGAGGCACTGACTGGTTGTTTCTTATGTGCAGACATAAGAAACAACCAGTAAATAACCTAACCTAAATAGAGTAAATAACAGTTTTAGTAAATAACCTTTCCCGTATCTGCCGCCAAGCAGTAATGTAAACATTAGCCTTCCGGTTTCGAAAGGAAGGTTGCTGGTCAAACTACACGCACATGGGACTTGTCAACTTAAGACTCAGCGTGTCGGGCGCAGTGCCAGTGCCCCTTAAATCTTTGTGATTTAAAGCTCTGAGTGGCATTGGAACTGTTAGGGACAGGCGTGTCGCTTACCACCAGGCAGCGACTTGTTTGTCCCGGCGCTTAGTATTATTTAAAAAAATAAGACCTTGCCGGCTACTTATAAAATTTCCATTATTATTTTTCAGAAAAACAAATATTATCCCTACATTTTTCCACATTTCACAGTTGACGTTAACCGTGACCATGGGGTCTGTAAAGGGCCCGAAACGTCGGTTTGTTTGAAAAAACAAAAAAAAAAAACAAATATACGCGATTTAAATCCGGGAAAATAGTTTCATTTCTTATGTGTAACAATCGCGAAAACCTAAGAACTCGATAGTCAAAGCTTTAAAACGTCAAGCTTTTTTACCCAGATGTATTTTTTCGCTGTTGTCGAATATATGTCTAAACTAATACGTGAGGCGCACTATAAGTTTCCGGAATGAATAAGACAAAAATACTATAAAGGCACAGAAATGAATTTATTGTTTCTCAAAATAGTATCCGTTAGCGTTAACGCACTTTTTCATACGAATGAACCAATTTTAAAAAGATTTATGCCACTCCTCCGTGACAATCTCTGAAACATATTTTTCATACTCTTCGACAGCCTCTTCAGGTGATGAAAATCGTTGACAGCGTTACTGGTTCTTAATTTTTGGAAATAAATAAAAGTCACAAGGTGCCAGGTCGGGACTA